GATAGTTTGGACTGTGAGTTGATCAACATTCACTGTAACCTCCTTATGGCTTCCCTAAGCCAAGGATAGCATGGCAGCAGGTGGTGCTAAGAGGGTTATTTGGAGGTAATCTTGACGCTGCAGTAGATGCACTATGAGAATAGTGTAGTTATCACAGCAGCAAACCTCACATTGGAGGATAACATATTCAAGAGCTCGGTGTTTGACAGCAGCTCTTTCACTGGTATGTGCTGTATAGTAGGGTAATTATTTAGGCTATCACTGTGATAGAAACAATTAAATATTCATCAGAAGAGGAACCCCCAACAGTTAATGTAGAATTGTGTTGGAGCTACTGAAACCATATAATCATAAAATGTCAACAAACTTTATTTCTACGAGCAATGTATAAGTCAAATAATATACAGAAATTTGAGCCAATCTCGCAAACACTCAAGATATGAATGGGGTGACAAAATGACAGAACAGATCTTGGAGAACTCTTAATTTGGTGTTTCATTTGGACAAAAGCTTTGTCAGGTGAATGCTTTCATTTGCTGACAGAAATGTTCAAGTTCGAAATGACTGAATGATTAACTCAAATGAGTAACATAACAAAATCTGCTGTTTCTCTCTGACTTACATTTACCATACCTGCTAATCTTTGTAGTGTATTTTGAAAGGCACACAATATATTAATAAAATCATGAGCTCACAGACAAAAACAAGTAAACCTTAAAATCTTGCAAACTCACTAGTTTTGTTGCCTTTGAGTTCAAGATACAAATGGCAGTTAAAATAATACCATGCTCCCCATCACCGGGTGTCAGGAATGAAAGGTTAAGTTTTATTAAATGGTGACTATTTGTAGTACCTAACCAGATACTCTTTGGAACTGTGAAGTGAATCCTTTGCCTTTCTGAGATATGGAGTCACAGAAACCATCTCAACATGAAATCCCTTATAAATCAAGTGTGCAATGTTTTACTAGTTCATTCATTACAAAGATCATCTAAACAAAAACAATACAACTTATATGGCAATTTTTTATCCTTTAAAAACATGTTTTCCAAGAAGCAGTGTAATGGCAAACAATACTGGATTCAGTTTCTTTTGACATCACAAGCTTTCTTGACATCCACTTAAGCAAATGCAAATGGTAAAGTCAGGTCAGCTAAGTGGATGCTCTTTGCTTTGCTGCAGTTAAGTCACTTACGTGACATGGCCCAAACACACCAGATTAGTTTCCTCTCTCATCACACTCCACAGATCACCCTGATCCTGCTCTTTGTGCATTTTCTATTTGGTTATACAAGTGAACTGGGCTTTTAGTGGACCCTTAGTCCACAGTTGTTAGATATCAAAAAGCTCTGCTTCCTTTTCTTTCCAAAAAGCAAAGCTTCGGTCAATGTATTTTATGATTTCCTCATTGCTAAACTCTTTCAGCTCATAGATGACTTGAATTGAGGCTTCATTCGGTTCATCTCTGGGTGGTGGTTTATCAACATGAGGTTCCTTTATGATTTCAGCAGTAACAAGTGGAATGGCTTTCACTGGATCAAGGTGTGTGCGTTCTGTTATGTCCTGTTGTGTCTTTGCTTTTGCTGTCACATCAGTGTGTTGTAGAGTTTCAGTTGCTAACTTCTGCATATCATCCCGTTCTGAACTTTTACCATTAGAAATCACAGTCTCACTTAATGATGTCTGCTCACTGACTTTAGCATCCCTCCAGTGGCCATTGTCAGATGCACCATCATGGGCAGCAGCAGCAAGTGATGATGATGGAAAAACATCTGATTGTGAGGCTGGTAGGGTAGGATATGGTGATGCTATTGGAGGTGGGGGTGCAGGATATGTAGTTGGTGGAGGAGGTGGAGGATGAGAAGGTGGGGGAGGAAGTGGTTCCTGCATTGGCATTATAGACATGTCAGGAGACACAGAGTACAGAGAAGCCATCATCACACCTCCCCCATCATTTGAGTCTCCAAAATACTTAAGCTTTATGTCTTCAAAACCATCCAACCAATCTCGATTCCCTTTCTCAATTTCCTCCATGACTTCTTTGTGAAACTGCCTTATGAACTCCCATTTATGGCTACCAAGACGGTCAAACATCTCGTAACACAAGAGGTGGCGAAATTTGCGCTCACTGCGGGACATGTTCATTTCCAGCAACTGGAAGTATCCAACCATGAAAAGGTCAAGGGTTAAGCTTTCGTAGCTCACAGGTGACCCATTGACGTGTGGCAAGAAGTGCTCTGGCCAGTAGATCATCTGGGCACGACTCAGCCTGCGTATTTGGCGTGTGGGTACTTGACTCATTATTGTCCTCCAGTGACCAATCAGATTCCCTACTACCTGCTTTGACTTCATGAAAAGGAGCAGTCTGTCATCCTCACTCTGTATCTCACCTCCAGTCTCTGCACTAAATTGGTTGTAGTCCTCCCAGCCCACGTCTAAGTGATTTCCTCTTTTGCCCGTATATTTAGTTCGATAAGCTTCAGAAATGGTGTACTTGCGCCAGTGTTCAAGGAACAGGAGGACAATTCTCTCTTTCCTCATTTCAATACATTCCTGGACATAGCTTAGATCTGTCTGCACCTCCAAGCTTCTTGTTTGTTGATTGTTATTTAAAATAGGGTCTGTGGAAACAACCTGGTCGAACTGTTCAATGTTAGCTGTAGCCATTATCTCAGGGGGCACATATGTTAGAGGAGCATTAGATGCAATGATAACTGGTTCTTCAACAAGTAGTAAGCCTGATTCCACCACTGAAGGTAAATCTCCATTGGTATTGGACTCGAGGATCATGGTAGAGGAACAAGGGACATCATCCTCATGAATTGCTTCTGGAGTGTAACTCGACTCACTTATCACAGGGAGTGACCCGTTGCGTCTGTATAAACTATTTGCTTTGACTGCAGGCTGCGGTTGATTCTGAATTTCATAATTGGCCTTAAGGTTCCTCACAGAAACTCCACACTGCTTTATCTCCCTCTCCACATCGTGTCTCGTTGAGAAGGATTGAGATCGTCCAATAAATCCAGTACTTGCCGATCCTGCTGTTTCAGTCTGACGAGTGTTTATATTCCTTGTCTCTTCTTGAGAATATCCCGGACATATAAGATTCAAGATGCCTATTTCTTTACCCCCCAGAGTGGCAAGAAGAACAGCCATACTCTTGAGTAAGGTAGAAATCTTGCTGCACCAGGCTGGAAGATCTTCAGCTTTGCCATGCACCTGCTTTGGATTGACTGAAAAGTGACCTTCATTGAGGGCAACAGAAACTGGTAGGAGCTGGTGAAGCTCAAGTTCTAGTTCTTCCAGTTCCTTCTCAACTTCTGAGACCTTGTGCATGACCTGCAGGTTCTCAATTTGCTTCTCAATGCGGTTTAGGTCGGCTTCAGTCATCAGTTCCCCAAATGGGCCCAGAATGGCATTGTGGACATGGGAGTAGTGCCATTCCTGAGGCTGGTAGTGCCGACTTGTTGCAAACTAAATCAGAGGCCAAAGGAGACCAAAAGACAAGAAAAAAGGGAAGCAGGGAGGGATTCCTTCAGCTTGAATTTCCTCTGTGAACACATGCTTCAGTGCAAATCCATCCTGACACACAGGTTTTACATGGATTTAGTGGTGCAATGGCACTGCCTCGTTACAAGCGCAAAGGTTTCTACTTTAATTTTGAGTCAATTATACCAACATCAATAAATAGAATGTAGAAAATATTGTTACAATATTAGACTTTTTAGGCATCTGATACCGCAAAGCTTTTGCTCAGTCCTTAACAGTTTCTTTCTCCAATTTTTAGTGATATTTTTATATTATTAGTTTAAAGAGTAACTACACTAACACTGATAATTCAGTTTTTAATGCCATCCAGCAATTCAACTTTTCATCTTGTTGACCTTCTGTCCACAACTCGAATATAATGTTACATGACTGTTGGGTACTGGCACCAGCGCAACAGACAGGTGCAGTTCACTCCACACCCAAGAGTGATAGGAAACCACACTGGGTGTGGTTAAAGGTGCAACAAAGTTGAAACTATCAACCCAGAGAGATCAGCACAAGAAAAGGACTTGATGTGGAGATACTCTTTAACAGATCATGATCTGCTGGCAAGAAAAACAAAAAACAATTTGAATGGAGATGTCATACTGTTTCACTGCATGCACATTGGTAACTAAGAGTAAAATACTATACAAATTTAGTTATTGTTATTATTATTGTTTTTTCTTTAGTTTGTTTATTAATACTGGTTGACCTGTAGTGTGAATGGGCCCAGCATCACACCACTGAATCAGCATGTAACAATGTAAAGTCACAAAACTCCACCAAACACCATCCCACACTGTGAATCTGTTAGTCAAGTGTGTTAAGGCTGTGATGGGCATTGTAGCAAAGTATTCACTTCACTGCACTCCAAAAAGCCTGTTGGTATTAATAAACACTATACATATGAAAAATGAGACATGCATTGAGGTGCTTAAAGACACAAAGAAGTATTTCATAGTGAGCACCTGGATGTCGACATATTACAAATATTGTTACTCTCTGCTATTTACAGGGGAAACGGCATCACTAACATACTCTGTTTAGCTTGGCTTAACACTGTTAGGCCCAACAGCCAGTTAGACATAGTAATGATGCCGGCACATGTCAATAAACAAAATGCAATGTCGGCATCACATTGTCGGAGACAAATTGCTACCTGTTGGATCATTTAAGAGTATAAAATAATAATCCTTAAGAAATTATTTTATAGTCAAATTTAGTCAGTTGCATGGAGTCCTTGTATTACACAGGACAAACAGGTGTTCAGATTGCTACAGTATTCATAACAAATAAAAACTTTGTCTAAATACACATATTATTACCACACACTGTAGTGACTGTTCATTAAAAGAGGAAGAGGTAGAGCCAAATAGATTAGAACAGAATTTATTTATGAAACAAGTTCCGTTCATTGACTGAAACCTTCGTATACATAACTCTAGCCACGGCAGTTATTTTGCAGATATGTATAGCCTTGCCTTATACTGTACTTAGGTGAAAGGAAATGCTGAAAAATCCCCTAACTGTGGCTTACTGACAACACAGAGACACTCGTCTTCAGCTATCATGTCAAGAAATCATAAATGCCAAATGAACTAGGCTTGACTCCCATTGCATGGTTCTCGCTCAACTAATTTAAAAAAGCAAAACACGTCATGCATAAATATTAAAAATACATTATACAAGCTCATAATTCAAAATCAATCCACACTCAAATCCAAGTACCAGCTATCCTTTTTGTGTTAATTTTTTAAAGAGCATTAGTTAAAGAGCATTGTAAATTTGCAGGACCACAAAAGGGATAGCTAAGACACGACTACAACATCATGCCTACCTTGCGCTTATGCTCTTCCTCCTCTTGCATCTTGAGCTGAAGCTTTCGCACCATCACCTGCCTCTTCCATTCAGGGATTGGTTTTCCCTGTTCATCATGAGTGGGCACTAGCAGCTCCACATCTGCAAGGCTAGTCTTCTGCCCTGACTCTGCTCCTGCTGTGCCACCACCACTGGTCCCATTGATCACAGAGTTGGAGGACAGTTGCTCTGAGCTCTCAGAGGTTGACATGGTCCCAGCAGATCCAGAACGAGTAGGACTGGGGCTTGGACTTGGGGTGGTGGGTGGAGAGGTGACAGTCGGATTGGATGGTGAAGGGGATGGCAGCTTGGCTGGCGGGCTAGATGTGTGTGTCTCTGGTGGAGATGTAGTATTTCCCTGGAGGAAAATAAAAGACAGATAAACAGGAGAATGTGACAAAACTGATAACTGGTGGATTTTTATATGTTTACTTTAACCAGCAACTATTATCTTAATAGTCAGACTTTTTCCCGGTGCATGTTGGACTCCGGCAGGGCTGCCCTTTGTAACCAGTTCTGTTCATTACTTTTATGGACAGAATTTCTAGGTGCAGCCAGGGGCCGGAGGGAGTTCGGTGTGGGGACCACAGGAGTTCGTCTCTGCTTTTTCCAGATGATGTTGTCCTGCTCCATCAAACCAGGACCTCCAGCGTGCACTGGGGCGGTTTGCAGCCGAGTGTGAAGTGGCCGGGATGAGAATCAGCACCTCCAAGTCCGAGGCCATGGTTCTCAGTCAGATAAACAGCAGCTTGTTCCCTTCAGGATGGTGGAGAGTTCCTGCCTCAAGTGGAGGAGTTCAAGTATCTCGGGGTCTCATTCACGAGTGAGGGAAGGATGGAACGGGAGATTGACAGGCGGATCGGTGCAGCTTCTGCAGTAATGCGGTCAATGTACCGGTCCTTCGTGGTGAAGAAGGAGCTGAGCTGTAAGGCGAAGCTCTCAATTTACTGGTCGATCTACATTCTGACTCTCACCTATGGTCATGAGCTTTGGGTAATGACTGAAAGGGCAAGATCCTGGATACAGGCGGCCGAAATGAGCTTCCTCCACAGGGTGGCCAGGCGCACCCTTAGTGATAGGGTGAGGAGCTCAGTCACCCGGGAGGAGCTCAGAGTAGAACTGCTGCTCCTCCACATCGAGAGGAGCCAGCTGAGGAGGCTCGGGCATCTGTTTCGGATGCCTCCTGGGCGCCTTCCTAGGTTCCCCCGGAGGAGCTGGAGGAAGTGTCTGGAGAGGGAAGTCTGGGCATCTTTGCTTAGACTGCTGCCCCCGCAACCCGGTTCCGGATAAGCGGAGGAAAATGGATGGATGGATGGATATTATCTTAATAATTCTCTAAATAACACACCAGTTAGGAACAATGTGATAAGGCATTATATATCAAAAACAGGACAAATCTGATTATTTCAACCTGCTTTTTCTTTGAAGGTGGTGTAATGCACTGAAGTGATCATGAAGAAAACTGTACTGAGGGGTTCACTGATGGACCACAATATGGCGTAGCCTCACAGGCATGTTGGATACATCATTACTATTTGATGATTCCTTTTGCAGATCATGTCAGCATGTGTTTGCATTTACATGTAATTGATTTAAAATTGGGACAGTGACATCAAATACAAAAGTAATGGCAAAAGCTGTGGCTAAAATGGGCAGTTCTCTATTTGTCAGTGACTGTTACATAAATGTATCATCAGAAGTATGTGAACCTACACTGTTGCCTGCGGGTCCACTGTTGGAATAGACAGTGGTGTAGCCTTTACTGTGAGGGGTGGGCTTGAGGCTCTTCCCTGCTTTGATCTCTGCCAGCAGCTCTGAGTTGTCGCCAGTGGGGGACATCATGTTGAATGACTTTGTGCCTGCAGACAAAAGGATGGAGCAGAAAAGTGAAACCTTGTAGAAAGACTGAATTGAGAAATGGAGAGAATGAAAGGGATACACTGAAAAAGATGCCGATACCAGTATCAGGTATCAGGTCCGATACCACCCTCTAGTACTCTACTCGTACTCGTAAAAGTTGTCCCACCAATACCAATTAATGGCAGCATTACATTAGCTTTATGCTGGCTGAGCCGGTTGTTATGTAACAGAAAAGAAATTTCAGCGGTTCGGGGATATGTTAAGATAAGTAAGGACAATAAAAGTAAAGCCAACACAGACGCCAACAACAGTAATGGAGAGAATAATTAATCAAACCCCCGCTGAACAAGCTGAACACAACAAACTTGCAGAAATGCGATGTTTTCACTCTCCCGGTGGTCAAAATGCCTGGTCCGTTCACCCACTAAACCCACATGGTGCTCATTATGCTGATTGATGTAGTGAACTTCTGTGAATGGGAAGAAAACAAAAGCTAACTTTATGTAGTTAATGGCAACGTGTAATGAGCTCTATGAAAACGGGTTGAATTCTGAGACCAGCAGCTCCTCTGCAGCAGAGCAGGTGTGTCTCCAGCAGAGAGGACAGGGTGGAGCCACAGACCTCAGCCAGTTTAACATAAAAGCATGTAGCCTCGTTAAATTAAACATTTAAATTACTGACTGTGATAATATGTGTTCCTATTCCTACACTGTCACGGTCTGGTCAGGGGATTGTGAAATCATTACATCCCAACATTGGGTCGCACGCCTAAAAGGTTAAACTCCACTGTATTACAGTATGCTGTGTAGCAGGCTACAGAAATCCTCACTTAGGATGTTAATGTAAAACAGTCAAATGAAACTTTATAATGGATGTATAACCAGCTGCACATTAATTTTAGGATTCTGAAGTTCACATATTATGGCCTAAACACACCAAAATGTCAACAGCTACCTCACCTGTCTTAGTGAATGCAAACCTCCAGTGAACTGAAGCTCATCAGCCCCTCATCGATAGCTCAATTTTGACTTGGAATGGAATTGATGTCTCCCATGAAAAAGATCCCTGTTGAGGTGACCACAGTGGGGACACACAGCTTCACTAGCCTACCACCCCTCCTTACTCTGCCTTGCTCTCTCTGTCTGTTTCTCACTCTCTCAGGGACGAGAGAGCAGCTTTCTGTTAAAGACCCATCATCACAGTTGGGGGAAATCTAAAGGAATCACCAGTAACTGGAAGTGACAGCGAGCCATTGGCAAGCTGGCCAGGAATTAACATACCCACACACACACACTCGCACAGTCACTGTTCAATCCCCACTGTGTTAGTCCATCCTACCAGACCAAGCCTGTCCGCAGTAAACCTGGCACACAGTTGACTCATACACACATTCATGACCTACATACAGGTCATTTGCTGGGTTACATAAAGAGGAAGAGAGACTGGTTGTAGACACCCCCAGATTATATTGTGGAATAAATCTTCATTGCGCTTGCATGCACCTTTGAAACTGTGCATTTCTGAGTCAAAGGTTATGTGTGTGTATAGGTTAAATTCTGATTAGGCTTAGGGCGTTGACTCAGCAGGTCTGTAAAGGTGCGTAGAGCTGTGACAGGTACAGAATATTTGACAAATAGCCTTCCATTGTGGAAATCACAACACAGAGTTTGCTGCTTCTGGTTTAGAACTTAAAGAGCGATCACACCGCTACATCTGTTAACAGCTGCTCCGTCACATTGCACTTCGGACAGAAATGCGTCCTCTACATTTCCTGTAATATAAAAAGTTGGATCCTCTTCATTCAGGTAAGCAGTACTAAACTATGGAGAACCTCCAGCCATTTACAGTGCTTTGGCAGCATGTTCAGTCATCAATCTGGTTTGCTGCTGTCGTTTCAAACCATGTCCGAGTTGTAAAGTCATCTGGAGCTCCCAGATACGTTGGTGGCTTTTAATTTCAGGGCTGCCTAATTGCCTGACCATTACCCAATTAATTCTGTACAGCAAATGATATCATTAATAAATACATATGCTCCTTAGAGCTTGAGATAAAGATCAATAGAAAACAGTAGAGAAGATGTAACCACCTACAGTGTTGAGCGGCATTTTCAGCCAGCCACCTGGTTTGTTTCCATCCTCTCAACAATGATTTGAGCTGTAAATTCATGTGGAGCTCTCGGATGTGTTGGTAGATTTTAATTTTATGACCTCCTAACTGCCTGTTTACTGCTTCATTAATGCATTAGCACTGATTATGCCATTAGTGAGCAAATACTAGCTTCTTTATCTCTGAGTGTTTTATTGATATTCTGCAATTACGCAAAGGCTGAGTATAAACAGATGAGACAATTGCACAAAGTAAAATGCATAGAATATACAAATGTGCTTAAATGTGTTCAAATGTGCTTAAATGTGTTGACGCTATATTATACTGTAATTGATCCTTCACTTAAACCTCTGTTTGAGATAACCTGTCTCACATACCATCTCCATGACAAACAGGCTTTCACTAAAAATTCTGCCCTAAACTAGCATTTCCCTTTTATTATTCACACCCTGTGTGTAGGGCTGGGTATCATCCCTGGTACTAATACTTTGACTTCGATATCAGTTTCTAAATGATATTTTTTCCAATACCAATTTTATAAAATCAGTTTTAACAAAGAAAATATTCATACTTACAGCCGTACACACTTTGGTACAGATAATTAGTTTTATTTTTCATTTCCTGCACTCAAAGCTGTTTCATAACACAGTCAACCTATTTAAAACAACCTTAACTTCCGTTACCATTACCATCAATAAATAAAAATGTAGAAAAGCATTTTTGATACTCAACATTTTTCAGTACTCTGGTATTGTAAAGTAATTTGATCTATGCCATAAAAGTGTTTGATACTCAGCACTACCTATGTGGCTGTTGCACTGATTATAAGAAAAATAGTTCGGTACAATGAAAATACCTTTGTCTAAAAAATTATTCTAGAGTATATTCTCAAACCAAAACAGGTTTTTTCCCCTTGGTTAATATTCACTGTACTGAAATGTATTCAGCTTGTTGTAAAATGGATGGAAATTTGAGAGAATAAAACCATTAATTATTGATTACTTCAAATTAATTGAACATTTCTACTGTGATGGTCAGTATTTTACTACTGCAAAAAAAGTAAGAAAAATAAACAGGGTTCAGCTCAGCCAGTGTTTTGAGAATAGAGAAGAGTTGCTTATCTTTCTGACTCTGACATTTGTTACTGTGGTCGTGTTTTAATTTGCAGTGAACCTTCCTGATTTGTCAACTTGTGAGTGACACAGATGCTTTCTGTACGCGTTGCTCTTTTGTCTGCCTGTCTATGAAATCAATGGGGCTTTTAATCCTCCAAAAAGGATTTTTAGACATTGTTTAGCTGGACGCACCACAGGAATCACTGTGTGATATAAGTTGGCAACAGTGGTGAAGTATTTATATAGAAAACTCGA